GAAGTTCCAACTCAGAGCTAATGAGCCGAAATGCTACATAACCGACTCCAAAGGCCTCCCCAACAAATCCCGAATCTCTCGAGATCACAATAAGCCAACAAATCCCGAATTTCTCGAGATCACAATAAGAACTCGTCCCGGCTTCGCCTGAACCGGAGGAAGACGATAAACCTTATCAACACACTACTCTCCTTCAAAAATGGAACAAACCTTATCTCCATAGCCCGGAGATCCCGAAGCTCTTTCGTAAGGCCCACGACTACTCCAGTATATAAAGACATGAAACCTCAAGGCAAAGGTACGCATGATTACTCTACTCACTAGAACTCAAGCTCTCAAGCATTCAGCTCGCATTTATAGCATAAGTACTGACTTAAGCATCGGAGCGACCTCACCGGGTTAGCTATCCCGGGTTCTTTGATCCACTGTTTTGCAGATTGATCCAGCTCGCCGCCCAATTGAAATTCGGATCACCCTCCAACTAGGAATAGTCAGATCGTGCACCACCAGAATCAATTTGAACAAATTGAATGGTCTATATGCAAATTGGACTAATCCAAAATGATCCAAAGTATTCATTAGATTGGATTATATCTGGTCCATCTATAATGAACTATTGGATTGGACAAAATCCGGTCTAATTGACACCCCTACATATAGGATTCTGAGCCGATGCATCATACAGAAAAGGCGGGCCCACTTGCCCCCTCGAGTTTCCTTTGATTAGGTCTAATCAATATCTATGATTTAATAAGTAGCCCTTCCTTCGTTGCCAAAAAAGAGTTGGATAGTCTGACTCCGTTAATATTAGCAATCGTTTAATTTCTGTTGGCATAACAGAATGATTTTCGATCTCAATATTTTTTGCAAGACAGAAAATCAGGTTTTGCTAACTATTTTCTTAATTGGGGCTCAAGTATATATCATTTAGTATCAAGACATTGAGCATACTTTTAAAATTGCCCATATCCCAAATAAATATGGATGGCGATTAGGCCTAATGTCGATGGGCCTAAGAAGGATGATATATCTATTTTGGATTCGTGGACCCGCATTTCAAATGGAGGTTCTTTGGACAAAGGGAGCTTATATCTAGAAAGGTGTGTTATTATTCTATGGTTCTTATGAAAAACAGAAATGAAAATGTTTTTAATAACAGGACCATCCCTCCTCTTATCTTGCTTGAGAACTTTGAATTATTTTTTAGAGATTGAAAATTGTACCAAGATGGATGAAAACTCTATTTCCCTGAAGTGCTGGAATCCAATTGTTTGGAGAGGACCAAATATGGGGATAATAAAGATAAATTTTGATGCATCTTCCATGTATTGCAAGAGACCACCTTGGCTCTATTCATGATCGCAAAGCGTATAGTATTGGTTTTACTACCATCAATGTGGCCTTCAAATTTTAGAGAGGCATGATCATCATCGAAAGAGATTCAAAGTTGATCATCAACTGTCCGAAGAGATTTATCGCTACGCTATGGAGAGTTTCGAACATCATTAAGACGCATCAGCTCTCATTTGAATGGTGGAGTTCGCTATCAGCATTCAGCATGCATTTAGAGAGGCAAATCAAGCTAAGCTGCGGATTGGATGGTTTGCAATGCTACCATGGTTGGTCAAGTTAGCCTAGTTTGTATTCCATCTCTTATTTTTATTTGTGCTGCACTGCTGCTGATTTCTGGGGCCGTATTACCCCTGTCTTGTGCAGTACCTCTTGATCGATAAAAAAAAAAGTATAATTCATTTACTTAAATATCTACACTCAGCAGACCTGTAGCTGAATTAAAGAAGACTACTACACTGAGCTCTCCTATGCCTAAGTAAATTCATCTTTCTTGTTTTCTTTTTTGCCTAAGCCAATGAGCTAATACAATGTCTTTCACTCTTTACCACCATCTCCTTACCCTCAATTGTCGGTTTCTAAAACAAAGGGTTGTTAGAAGGTTCAAAGTATCGATACACCTCTGCATAGAAGTGCATCAGTACTCTAAACCATGCGCCTTTAATGCTTTTTATTATTTTTTCAAATTTTAGTTTTATATACATTTTATATATACTAGTAATTAAGCACATGCGTTGTACATGAGAAATTTTTCTTCATATTAATTACTTGAATTTTAGATATGTCATAGTTAAGACAGAAATTGAAAATTAACAAAAGTAACAATATGATTAAAAATAAACTTAAATATTTATTATTCAATTATGACATCATGGATTTAATTTCTTTGAAAAGTTTGATCACTAACCTACCATCTAGATAATAAAATAGTTTTGCTTTTGGATTAGTTTTAAATTAAGGAAAATTATAGTCGGAACTGGTTGAACATTTAAAATTAGGCTACAAGTTGGTCCATAAACTAACAAAACTCTAGCAACTGGCTTTACATTTCAAATTATAAAAACCCTCACCATGTCATCGGAGGCTTATCTAGTTGTTGTTAGCATGGGACTCTTAATTAGACCTGTTCATGGGTCGTCGGGTAGCTCGACTAGCCAGCCCGGCCTGTCTCGATCTAAGATGAGCTTAAACAAGATTTCAAGCCCATGGGCTCAGACCTAAAATATTAGGCCCGACTTTTTTTTTTTGGTTGAGCTCGGGCTTTCTCATAAAAGTCTGACCTTAGCCCAAGACTGGATTGATAATGTATTATATAATGAAAATATATTTTATATAATACATTTTTTCTTTATTTTTTTTCTCTTTTTCAAGTAATAATGAGATCTTTACACCAACTGAAGAACAATAGAGATTGAGGGAGAAGGAGATATTGATTGAGAGGGAGAGTATGGAGAAGAATGAGAAAGATTGAGGGAGAACAATATATATATATATATATATATATATATATATATAGAGAGAGAGAGAGAGAGAGAGAGAGAGAGAGAGAGAGAGAAAGAGAGAAGTTTTTGATTTGGCTACAAAATGAAGCTGAGAGAGTGGGAAAGACAGAGGGAGCCGGAGATCAAGAAATGATTGTGAGAGTGAGAGAGAAGGGAGGGAGATTGAGAGACTGAGGGAGTGGAAGAGAAATTGAAAACCTATTTTCGGTATAGGTTTTTTGTTGTGTCCAACATGGACTCAGAGTCCCATGTTGGCAACAACCACATAAGCATCTGATGACATGGGGGGTTATAATTTGAAATGTAGTGCTGGTTGTCAAAGTTTTGTTGGTTTCTGGACCAACTTGCATCCTAATTTTAAGTGTACAACCGACTTTGACTATAATTTTCCCTTTAAGTTATATATTTTATTTACATTATATAAAATATTTTTTACTTATTACACTTAATTTTTGTTTGTCTATGGTATCATTTGACTCAAACCACTAACCTACCATCTAAAAATAAAAATTGTTTGATTTCTAGGTTGTTGACATTAAATTTTGTATTACATTTCCATCATTGATAAAATTATTTCTTATGTATAAAATTTATTTTTGTCCAATACAATGAATGCAAAATTTTAGAGATGTACCCAATATTTTATTTTTATAAATATATAGCATATTAGATATGTGCCCAAAATTTTCTCTATCTTTAATTTTTATTTTTGTGATTCTTTGTATTTTCTATTATTAAAAATTTTATTATTTRACTATGACATYATTTYATTTCTAGGTAGATTTTGAATTTGGCATTCCATTTTCATCATTAATAAAAATACTTCTTACATTTCATAGTTATTTATTTTAACTTTTTTATTATTTAATTATGGAATTATTTATTAATCTATTTGACCCCCAAATGGTTGAATTGCTTACCCACCACTAAGACGGAATAAAATGGTTTTGTTTTCAAATTATTTTTCAAAATATTTATTTTTATACTATTAAAATTAATATTGTGGATTTAATAACAAGAACTTAATTATGAGAAAAATATATCTTAAATATAGGATTTATTGAGAGAGACTAGGAAAATATTTTTATTTTCAATTGATTTTAAATTTTACATTCCATTTCCATCATTGATAAAAATATTTTTTATTTATCATATTTATTATTGTTTAATATGTATGTTAAAAATGTTCCCAATTTTTTTAATTTGATTATTTCATCATAGCAACATCGATTAACCCATTTGACCTAAAATTATTTAATTTCTTACCATCACGTACATGAAAACATTATTTTTGCTAGGTAGATTTTAAAAGTATAAGTTTTTATGTTATTGGAATTATTAATTTATTAAGTATGGATTTAATTAATAGAACTTAATGATGAGAAGAAAAAAAAATAACTTAAATATATGATTCAATAAATATGAATGCAAGTTAATAACTTAAATGTTGGATTTAATGAGAGAGAATTGAATGCATTGAATAACTTTAAATTACTTCTTTTTAACTCATTTAATATCTTTAAATTTTGTCCTTAGAAAATTTCAAAAATATTCTTGAAGTTATTCGTGCTTTTTAAAGTGATATAGATTATTCATTAAAAGAAAAGTTCCTAAAAACACTGTAAACAAATGTATTGGACCCCATACACGCAAACCAAATTATTAGGCTGTTTACCTAATAATCTTCCCGGCTACCAGGGTTTTGGTAGCTTTCTAGAACAACGCCCCCAAACCAGTAGGCCTCCAAACAATGACCGAATTAAGTTCCATGTTTGCAACTTTGCATTGCTAAACAACACGGAAACCTCGTTGTCCCAGAGTGCAATGGTTGATATGGTTTAATCGAGTCTCTGCCGACTGCCATGCTTGGTTTAGTCGAGTACTTTTTTTTTTTTTTTTAATGGCATGGGTTCAAAATGCTAACAGCTCCAAGCTTCTTAGGCTGAATTCAGGCTTTTCCCAACATCAGATAGGCCAGAAGCTCAATAGTTATTCTGTTCCGAGTACAAGGGCTGCCATCATTTCACCAATTTAAGCATATTCACAGAATGAAACGAAAGAATTCTACTAATTTTGCACATTGCATTCAGATCCTACCAATAGTTCACACCTAGACAAATCTGGTTCTGGCTCATACGCACCCATCCATTAGAAATGAATATAACTACTTCACATTACAGATAATAATATTACAAAGCAGAGGTGGTTCATTATTCATATCCCAAAAGAATCACTCACCATAAAGAATAGATTACACATGGATATTAAGTACAAACAAAATGAATTTTCAAAACATGGCCACAACTGCTAAGATATATTTGACCCACACAGCTACACAATCACTCGTTTAAATTTGAGCGTAGGTGCATCCTCAATTGAAAAGGAAGTACCAAAGCAAGATAGAAAAATGCAAAAAAGCCAAACAGTAGTTATAACCCACTGACAGAGGGACCATTCAGTAGGTAATCCTGCATTGACTCATTCCATTATCCAAAATGGAAGATAAATGCAAATATGGCTCCTCAAGTAGAAACACGAGATTATGACAGAACTAACTGAGTCCAATTTTAATCCAAATAGGAGCAGGCTTTCCATTTTTCCAACCAAATATAAGAAGTTTCTATAACCCCTTTGAAGCTGCACAGTTTCTATTCTTTCTCAGGTGGATTGGCTCTGTGATACTTCCATTAGTTGGTGATAGGATTGACTCAACCAGGTTGAGGGATTTCTATCTGAAATTTCAGATGAGACTGGAAATTTCTTATTCTTTGTGCCTTTTTGGGTGTAGTTATCAGGGGAATTACCATTGTGTCAGTAATGAATCCATTGATTTCTGAGGTGTGACTGTGTAAAACTGTCTGAGTGATTTATGACTGAAGCCAACTCGACACCCCCCAAACAAAGCAAATGATCTTCACAGCTTCCGTTGCCGAAGTTATCTACTTGAGATGCCTTTGCCTGCTCACTCATTCACAACATAATTTGAGGTGTAATTCCTTGTATGGTTCTTAATTCTGCCTAAGGTGTAATAGCTGAGACATCAATTTGGTCATTGTCCTTCCTGCCCTGCAGATATAGAAGACAGGGTTAGAGTTAATTGCTGTAGATGAGAACAGGTTACATCTCGGTGAGAAAGATTGCTGGCGCAGTTTAAGATTTTGACCTGATTTGAAAATTTTCTTCTTATTCACATCCTCCGTGCCAAGGGAGAAGCCACCCCTACACTGACTTTTGGACCTGTTTTTCTTGGTTCAGATGAATTTAATGGAGGAGTTGATGAACCTTTGTGTTTGATTTGTCCAGATGCAGGGCCATCTGTTGTTGAATTTGCAACACTTGGTCTGTGTAAACTTAACCTCTTTGTTTCATGACTTGTGGTTTGAGATGTTTTCTTGTCATTCTTCAGGGAATTTGCAGTCTTGTTGGTTACTGGAGACTTCTTAGATGTTGCTGAAGTAAAACCATTAGCTGCACTTCGTTCAGCAATCCTCTTTTGACGTTGAAGTAGCAATTCCTCCATTCTCTTCCGGTTCTCTTCCTCCTGTATTCGAGAGAAATTGATTTTTGAGATTGAAGCAAGGTAAAAAAAGCAAGTGAACAGAAACAGTAAAGATGGATTTAATTAGTAATTATTTCCATGTTCTCCTAAAAAGAAGTAACCATTTAATACCTTCTCCTGTTTAGTCTTTTGAACTGCAGCTCTGCTTACAGTGGACGGTTTCTTGGTTCTTGATATACTTTCAGGTCTGGTCTTTGTAAGAGATCCACGCAGGTTTTTAGAATTCACTTCTTTCACTGGGCCTTTTGTTTCAGGACTTCCATTCTTGGTGCTTTCATTACAGGGATCATCCTTGTCACAACCATTTGTTTCAATACTAGAGCGTCTCTTTTCATTTTCAGAAAACGAAATATCATTTCCATAATCTATTTCAGGAGTCCAAGAAGCCTCAATAGATCCCACTCCTGAACCTCGGTCAAGCACCATGTAGAGATCATCTGGCTCATAGGTTCCAGACATTCTAAGACGATCCCCTGGGGGATCGGGAGTGCTACTTTCATGCTGAGTAGCTACACTAAAGTCAGCATCCATGCCTACATCTGTTCTCCATTGAGAATCATATTGATCATCGACTATTGATCGAGCCTGCACCATAAAAGAATCATCAACAAACACATTCTTCTTATTGTTCTCAGTGCCAAAAAAGCCACCCTCTGTTGTCAACTTGTGATCCCCATTGAAAATTGCATGATCTGTGGTTCCATATTGGTCCCTCAATTTCTCAGGTTGGTTGACAATAAACCAATCCTCTCCTTTATGACTTTTGAGCACAGATGGTTCAGTGACACAATCAGATACCACATCCCTGAACTTTCCCTCTGAATTCCCTATTCTCAATGAAAATAACAACTCTTCATCAGTGCATTCCCTTCTCTTCACAGTTGAGTGGAAATTTTCTCCACTTTCAAAATTTTCCATGCAAGTCCTGCTTTCATTAGCTGCATTTCTGTCAGACATAAGGAAGGAATCATTTGCAATAGGTCGTTGCTTTGTTCCTTTCTCTGATTCCAGGTGTACTGCACCTGTGAACTCAGATAGTGCTCCTGAGTCAGAACTCCTGATAGTAACAAATTCATCTCGAACATCCACAGTCTGCTGTTTTTCTACGCCATTAGCACCTGAGTCCTCATGTCCCATCAGAAGGCTTTGGAAAGTGTCCCAGTTCTCAGATATTTTCCCTCCCTGCGAAACATATGCATCATCATCACCCTCAAGATCATGATTAACCACACCATTTGATCCATCTGTAATGGTGGAATGCTTGTCCCCACCTCTCTTTTTATGATGACGTGAATTTGACTTGTGATGTTTCTCCAAAGACCCAACTGCGTCCTCCACCTTCTGTTTAAGGGAATCTCCATCAATGAATTCATCTTCAGCTGAAGATGACTCATCAGATGCATCATCCTTTTGTCCTTCTCGTTTCTTGGAAGTGATGTAATTAATGTTGCGGATAACAACCATTCTTGAAGACTTCTTTCTATTCCTTCTTTTCTGTGACTGCTCCTTTGCAGAATGCTTCCCATCTTTCTGTGAATATCCATCTGACTCACTACCAGAAGAGGCACTGGGATCGCTGGATCCATCTTGTTCTGAACCTTCTTCTTCTTGTTTATTTGGTGATTTCTCTTTTTTTCTGGAAAGTGATTTATGACTGTGACGGTAATCAGGTTCACGGGCAAGATCATGGCCAGATTCTTCACCGTTTGGAGACCATTGCATATGCCCTGGATAATAGGGAGGAAAAATCTGCATGCTGTTGAAGGGATATCCTTGATATGGGGGCATTTGTTGAATACCTGGGTTGTGGAAATTGTACATGTACTGCGGAAGCTGATTTTGCCATGGCATTGGACCTTGAGCTTTGGCAGATGCTGGTGGAACCTGACCCGACGTCGGCAAGCTATTATCTGCACATAAACCTTTTGATAAAACAGATGTGCCTGTTGATTCTTTGGAAGAAAAATGTATGCTGTCCTCTATGATTCTTTGCAACTTAGACATGAATATGATATGTTGCAATACATGCTAGTTCAATATATGAAACCTAGACATAAATCTGACAGATCAATAGCTGAAAATATCAAAAGACATACTGCTGTTTAATGCTAGTTAAATATATATAGTTAAACATAATATAAGTAAAAAAGTTGAAAGTTGTACCCTGACATGCACAATTGTTTCTTATTTTTCCAAACTATATAGACATGGCTTCCTCATCTCTCTTTTGGGTTGGGGGTTTGGAGGTGGATTAGTACATAAACTTGCATCCTCATCACTTACTCATTTGCATAGCACTAAAATAGATAAAGTCCATGTCAAAAAATTTGGAATTGCAGAATGTTTAAATTTCTTTCATCCCATCTTACAGATTTTTCCCCTTTAAAGAGATTGTTAAATGAACGATTTTAAGCTCTACCAAGTTTTCACCTGCTTTGGTCTAGAATATATGAGATCCCCTACTGATACGATACTTAGGATACAATATGCATGATGTAGTCTGCCAACTAAACAAACATATGGAACAATCATTGGTGGGCCATGTCTATGATACAATGTGAAGGATATGTTATAAAAGGCAGCTGGAAGGGGAAAAAGGAGTAAAAGACATTAGAAATTTTCATTTTAAGATTTCTAGAATATAGAGGGCAGATTTATCCAGGGTCCTTGTCACATTGGTTAAGTAAACAAAACAGGAACAGTGTAAAAAAAGGAGGTAACATTTAATACCTTGATTTATTTCTGAACTTGTGTGACTTACGATTGAATCAGACACTGAAGTATCTAATGATCCATTTGGATCAAGTTGCCCATTGGAGAAACCATTCTGGATATTTGACATGATACCCTGGCCAAGGTTATTGCTTTCAGTAGTCAGTATAATCCCAGATGTTCCCAAGTATGGAAGCTCTGGCTGAGGGCAGGCTTCCATTGCTGCTAGTTCATCCATCCAAAGCCCATCATCATGCTTTCTATTGCACAACTCCTTGAAATTTATGCATGCTTCCCTACATGACATTGTAATTAAAACTTAGCCATCCTCAAACTCAAGACAAGCACATGGAAGTTTTAGTACCAAAAGCAGCACGAAATGTGCAGATGCAAATATCTGAGCTGAAATGTAGATAGGACATGATTCTTTTCTTGGGAATTCATGAAACTATTGGTGGAACTTGAAAAAGCGTTCCAAGTTATGAAAAGCATTATCTTCACTACAAAACTACCCAAGGCCCAAATTGAAACTTAAGATACAAAAATGAATAAATCCTAAAGGTCGCAAACCTAATTATATTACCAAACAAGTAGATAATCTAAAATTTCTTAAAATATTTCTGGTTACAGGGTCATGCATCACCATTAATGATTAATAAGATAAATGGGGTAAGAAGTTTCTCATACCACATGAAGATGAGCAAAATTCTTCTTAAAGATAAAATGGAAGTCAGAAAAAAATATGCCCTAGGTTGTGAGGCCCCCTTCAAAGCTTAAACTTGAACCAACCTCCTCCCTTCAATGATACCCAGATACATGTACATGGATGTCATGTCATGTTCAGTACTTGAGGCTCAATTTGGAAAGAGTACAAATACAAACATGTACAGTACAAATACATCCAAAATAATAGAGAATACAAGGTTTTGCACTCTACATGATTGTATTTGTACTCGCTCCAAACTGAGCCTGAGGCTCAATTTGGGAAGAGTACAAATACAAATATGTACTGTGCAAATACAAGTTTAGGTATACAGCATACAAGATTTTGCAATGTACAAATTTGCATTTGCACTCTTCCCAAACGGGAGCCTGAACTTTTGGTCTAGATTCCCATCATACACCTTGTTCAACTTTACCCTTGAAATATCTGGGTATCTTAAGCACATAAATAAGACTAACAACTTATTATTGTACACACTTACTGGTAGTTTCTTTCTGTGCATGCCTTGTGGTTTTTACATGTTTCTTCCACTAACTATCAATCAAGAAGAAAATACTTGCCTACATTAAAAAGGAAGTGCTGGAAGAACTTCCTGGAGAGAAGAACAAAATTGAATTATTAGCTCAGTGAGCATTAAAAAAATTGCAGTTACTAAAAGATCCATGAGACAAGCCCACCACGATGAGGTGAAATCTTCCCATCTAAAACCACAAAATTCACCATGTTATTCAAAGATGCTAAATATTCTTACAGTTCACATCTTAGTTTTGGTTTAGGATCTCTGTTTTTTTTTTTTTTTTGTGTTCTCCCCCACAACTTTCTAGAGAATAACCTGCTTGATATAATCTATCAACAAAGTTGAAAAGATGTAGTTAACACTGTCTAGGGCAGTCCATGTTCACCAGGACCAAGTCCAGCCTGATGCAGAATGACCTGAAATAATACAGTGAAGTCCTTTGACAACATGAAAACACGTACCAAGCTCAGAAGAATCTTAATAGATTTGTTGAGTAAATAATTAGATTGACAATGGCTCAGCAATCTCAGTAATACCCAACCTTCATAGGTTGTGCAGGATACATAGTACGTTTGCACCAATTTGCTACTCCTAGTACTGAGATTTCATATAATAAACTGAAGAAGCCATTTAGACAGCAATAACGTAGAAAAGAGAAACTAAGGAGCATGATAATGCAGTACAAAGGGAATAATTACACAGTAATAACCCTACCCTAAACTTAGATGATATGTCATTCATTTTTGGTTGATTATGTGTTTATGAGGCATCATGAAAAGTTCGAAATCAAAAGTCTGCTTTTATCTCTGATAGTGAACCTCACTATGGTTGTCTCTGATGCTCATTTGTACCTTAAACGTGCAGCCCCAAAAGCATCAGCAAAGGAGATGAGATCGCCAATTTGGTCCATTTCATATCCAGCAACACATGCACGGGCATAAGCCATTGCCTGTTCTTTCCGAAGAACTGCTTTCCGAGTCTCCAAAAGACGCTGGAGGTGAATCCTGTTTAATATCAAGGTAAGAAATTGTGCCTATGAATTTAACAGATAAATTATCAGACAGAGCTGATTAAATTAATGGAAAGTTTACTTGGAGTTCTCTTCTTGTGCATCCTCATCAACATCATTAGATTCGCCTTTTGACTGGACACCACCACCATGAAGTTAAAGGTTACTATTTAAGTTCTGAAGAAACATAACCAGACAGTGTTCCCTAATAAACTCTTAACACGGTGAAATACCTTAGTGGAAGAAGGTGATTTCTTGGCATTCCCATCAATAGCTGCAACATTGCCTAAAATATCCATAATTAATTGTTAAATTAAATTTTGAAATTGAAATGGTGCCTTAGTCAATGATTAAGGCAGATAACTGAATTCAGCATTTTTTCTTCAAGATAGCTTTATCAGGAATAAATAATCCGTTGTTATTAAAATGTTCTTCAAACCCTGAAACTCTCAGAATTCTCTACTTCAGAGCAAGAAAGTTTGATCTGTACAAAAGCATCAATGACATTTTTTCAAGAAGAAATGACAGCCGTAATCAGATATGAAGAAATCATAATACATGCATACGGGGAAGGTGCAACAGAATGGATTGCACCAAAATAAAGGATTTTAGAATGTAAGTGGCAAAGTATCAATGTGGAAATCATATTTGAGCATCACCTTCTTCGGTTTGTCCTGCGACAGTGTGGTTTGAAAACTCATTGGATGTTTGAACTACTGAAGTCTCAATCTGCGAGATCTCCTTTTCAATTGTAACAAACCTCTCGAGAACTTCAGGCGTGCTCACAAACCGGACAAATCTGCTCAAGCAGCACAAGTAATACACGAGTTGGTATTGCACAAAAAAGAGAAAACCTTGGCGAGATTGACTCGGGTGAATCGAACGGAAAATTCGCAATTCGACAAAGAATCAACCACGGCACGACCCATCACCTACCAAATGTATGGTATGGATAGAATTGAGCAATAGACCGAGCGGACTCGTCCGGTTTCCAAGTGGACTACTTGATTCTTCCACATTGACCCATAAAAGAATCTAAGCCGGAGAGACTCCGCAATTTACAGTAGAAAAGATAAGAGGAACTGGAAGACTAATTACCGTTCCAATGTGCCTTTAGTGAACCAGGAGGCATCTGAAGTAGGTGGGCGAAGAGCAATGGAGTAGCCACCCTTGGATATCTTCTCTTTGGCAAATTTGAGGTGAGAAATGAACGGTTCGAGCAGCCCAGACGCTAGTTTCTCGTTCTTACCTCCGTAGAAGACAACAAAGTCACACCTTTAAATGAAAATGCACGGAGAAAATACCCAGATCATCAGGACCCAAGCTAGATAACTCCGAGAACAAAGGCCAGAACGAAAGAAAAAACGCTTCCTACCTGGTTCTGGTTGGGGTGAGCTGAAACAGAGCATAATCGAGACGAATTCTCGAATCCATAGTAACAGACAGGGGGCAAGAACTTGGATAGAAACAGGGAGCTTCAGAAGTACATCGTCCCGGAGAAAGATCTCAGCACCCGTAATTCATCTACTCTATGAGTCTCTCTCTCTCTCTATCTATCTATCTATCCGTCTGTCTCTCTGAGAGAGAGACAGAGAGGTGGGGTGGATATGGATCGCCAGTGCCAGCAAGAACTGATGAAGCTTTGCACATGCGAACGAGGATTTGACGATATGAAAGTAGGCCCCGCAAGGCATGCCGACACCTTTTTTTTCCCGTCTCTCCCTCTCCGTAAAATGAATGAATGGGAAAAATTGACAACGAGCGAATATTGAATTCTCGATTTCTTTTTTCCTTTATGTGCAGAAGAAGAGACTAATGTGAGATTGGTTGGTTGAGAGGTCATTTCTTTATTATTAGCCTTCTTTTTTCTTTAACATATGAAAAGAAAATTGTAAACTTGTAATTGAAGAGAGAAGAGTGGGGTTGAGGGTGTTCCGTCGGATTGCTTGTCTGTTTTTTTTTTCTTTTAAGCTTGGCTGTCATACATAGTTGGGAAGTCTTCTTCTGTCTGTCACTCCCTCTGTCCTGCTGGAGTGAGCCAGTGAGCAAGGAATAATGACACCCCACCAGGTCACTCCGGATCTCCCGTGCATTGAGAATATCTTCCCCTGCATAATTATATATCTACACACGAGATGTTCTCTATATGTGGCTAGAATATTATATGAGTAAGTGTGGGCAGAGTTTTTGTTCTTGTGGGTAGAACTAGAACTTAGGAGATCCTAGCTGCCACCAGTCAGGCCGCAGGCCAGTAGGCCACCAGCCCACATCCTCTCTCTCACTAGACGACTATACATAAATGGAAGCTTCTTAGGGAACTAAGGACCAATCAAATGGTGACACCGAAACCCGTTGCGTCACTTTCAAAGTTTCAATTGTGTTATAATTACTAACATATCCTCATTTATACCGACAGTTCTTCAGCCTCCACTCTCCATTTCTCCGACCCAGCCGGCTAGCCCACAGTGGATGGCCTGTCGAGTTCAGATCAGCTATCAATACACAGTGCTAATAACATTGCCATTGCAGCCGTATAAAGAGAAAATTTTTCGATGAATGTTAAAAGAGATATTGCTAATGTAAGGCTGTAGTGACATGTTGGAACAGTATTTGTAGCGTTTTATTTATAGCAGATAAGGACCTGGCTTCTCCGATGGAGATGGAGATTGTTTTGATGGGGTGGAGATGGAAACGGGGATTAATAGAAATCTCCGGTCAGGGCTGAGGTCAGAATAGGGATTAAGGTCCTCGCCCCACTCTAACTCCGATTATATATATATCAAAACATATTTAAAATATTATTTATAATTTTTATTTATTTTAAGTAAATTTATTTTTTTTTTTAAATAATGTTATCTAAAAACATTTCAGTGATTCGAGTCTTTACGGGGAATCTATTTCCGTCAGGGAACAGGGATGGAGGACAAATTTTATCTCTGACGAGGATCCGGGATGAAGGACAAATTTTATCCTGGCAGAAATCAGGAATGAAGATAAAAGTTAATTTCAGAATCGAGATCGGGAATGAAAAATATGATATTCACCCCATTACCATTCCTATCCCGAGATAAAAAATGAGAATGAGGTTAATTTCAGAATCGGGATCCGAAAAGAAAAATATGATACCCGCCTGTTGCCATTCCTAATAGCAGATTCCCTAGCCTGGCCTGCCACGACTAAGCTGAGCTTTTTGCCGGTCAGGTTGTTTATGTAATCGATAATCTTACTCGGTATGGCAAAGTTTCCAAAGCATCAAACGCGAGCATATTGAGCAATCATCTGCAATGCTCACACATCTCAACTTTGGGGCAGTGGCCGGTGAGCAGCCCACCCTCTTTTTGATTTTTGTTTTTACTTTGGGTGCATTTGCATAGATATAATAGGTGAAAGGTTTCGATCAAAAAATATCTTTGCCTTTTATGGTTGCTTTGGTTGGGTCACACGCAACTTAACTCTCATGCTGAGGAGTGAGTGAGGAGGAATCGGGATCCTTCACCTGGGCCCCACTTGGGGTCCTCACGTGGTCCCATTCTTCTTTTTTTTTTTTTTCTTTTTATTGGTAGATGAGAGAAAGATGGACTCTAGCTCACCTCTCTAGATGTTGGCTCAGAACTCCATATTTGTAAAATTGTTGTAAGTGATGTTGGCTCAGAACTCCATATTTGTAAAATTGTTGTTAGTAGGAATTAATGATGTTATGCTTATGTTTATTAGCATCTAATCTTTTTTTAATTAGCTTCTAAGATCCCAAATCATCCAATCCTGGGCGTAGGCTATGCCTAAGCCTAAGTAATGAGTAGTGTGTACACTCTTACTGCTGGTACATAGGTTGCAATGTTGCATGATCTCCGAGAGGACACCCTGGATGCTTGTTGTTTACCGAGTGTTGCTGGACCCCAAATTAGCCCATAAATTGCCCGTGGGGCTTGTCGGCCCATTTCATCATTCATCACCTCCTTGATTACCAACTCAACTAGCTCAACGGTAAAAGATGTGCACAAGTCAAATATGAATTATTGACCACTTATTTAACAAATTATTCTAACTTTTGTTATGTTTTTCACATCTACTGAAACCTTTCCTCTTCTTAGTTGGTTACTGCATAAACCCGGTTTTTCCGGCCCAATATTTGTTGTTAACTTAAGAGCCCATGTCTTTTCTGGTTTGCTCTGAACTCCTTTGGCCTTTTCCACTTGTAATACATCACTTCTTTTAAGGGTTGTGTAGAACTGTAGATGGTCTTCTTTACACGTGACCAAACCATGTTAGTCTATTTTTTCTAATTTTGTCATTTGTTGAAACTGCTCCAAGGTTCTTTTTGATGAATTCATTTTTTATCTTATCATAAAATCCTTTTCTTTGAAAATAGGTAAGAGATCTCCATCATAATATTTCTTTTAAAATACAAATAGAAATGTATAATGACAAGAAAATCCTTCCCATAAATGACAAAATTAAAAGATCCTTCTATCAAATTTAAGTTTTGAAAATACCAATACCCAAATATATAGATTCTACAAATCCCAATTATCACATCCAAATCCCCATTTTCAACTGTAGCCTCTCTTCAAGAAGACCAATTTGTTTTCATAAAGAAAAAAAGAGTATTTTTTGCTCAAACAGAAAAAAAAAGTATTTTATTAATAATAATTGATCATTAAACTTAGTTTCCCACTATTTCTTTCTTCCTTTTTTTTCTTGTATAAATTGATCTCTACTCCTGACTTTTTACATTTTTCCAGACATGATCATCCTATTTATGGACCCAAATAGCATAAAGGCATTTTGATCTTGCAAAACTCTAAATTGGTAATATCAGTGTATTTTTGGATTTATGARAATTTCCAAAAATAATATGATGACATTCTATTAACCCCTATGACAATATATAATGAAAGGAGGTTTATATTAAGCAAACATAAGTAAATAGCTAGATTTCTCAGCTGCTTTTTAAATGGCTTCTCACAAAATGGATTTAACCTGTGATCCTCATCAATCCCATTAACCTCTTGTGATCCCCAACTGCCCTCCACCGCCCACCACCACTTTTAATCTTTCATTCCTCACCACCAGGAAGTCAGGAACCCTCCACGTTTTAGTTTAAAACTTTTTCAGGGCTCCAGTACAAAATGTGTGGTTAAGTTTGGAACTTGGGTTCTAAACTTTCTAAGACTAAGACATCAACCACACCAAGTTATCTCTGATGGCAACAACAAGATTGCAAATATCAGTACCACATATCAGCACACCATGTCAAAGCAACAAAATCCAAATCAAAGGAAAGTGCTCCAAATCTTACAGAATCTGGTTCAGGGGAAGATATGAGAAGCCCCAGACAAGGATTTGTTTTATAGTCATCCAACTCTTAAAGTCTTAACAACAAATCCTCATAAACACAAATGATCATGCTGTATGTTGTAATGCAAGGAAAAGATCTTCTGTTTTGGCTCTTGCCTGTCTTCCACTTCATATGAGATGGCCTCCTAGCTTTTATGCATGGAATCACCACTCACAGGCATGAACACAGTAATCCATTAAAAGCCAATTTGCACTTTCAGTGAGACAAAAGGGAGACCAAGTGGGCCTCTCCAGTAACATTTCTGAACATGATTTTTGAAATGCTTCAGTATGAAGAGTGCCATTTCTGTAAAGATATTCATTTCTTGATGGGAAATGACTAATTGAAGTGATCTGTCAAAACCACAATCTTCACCTTTACACTGAAAGAAGTACACAATTCTAGCTTAGGCTATGAATGGCCCAATTATGGTTAATAAGAGCTCTAGTGTCGGGGGTTATGTTATGCATGAAAGTTCTTCATAGAAAGGTGTTTGATTGGGCACATTTTCAGATTAACAACTCAATAAACATATTGGGTTTCAAAATTTTCTCCCATTGCTAATTGAGATACTTGTCCTACTCTCTTGTTTCAAGTATGAATTGTTTAAAGAAGGGCCATTGATTCCTCTCCTCATGGTCCAAGTCATAGGAGATATGAAGCAATTTACTTTAGAAAGTGGTCTCTTACGCTTTGTGATGCATTTCTTGTAAAACTTTACAACAGCACTTGTCTGATGGAGTGGCTATAAGCAAAGGCTCTCACTTTCTTGACATGAAACATTCTTCTTGTCATCTTACGCTTTGTTGAGAGAGTCTAGATCTGCAGCCCACACTAAAACCAAGGTGCCCATTTGTCCTTTAACTAAGGGACGAGGAAGTTTCAGGTCTGACCCGCCAACCCCTTTTTTGGCCTTTTGGGCTTTACTCTTCTGCTGTACTCCAAACCCGAGTAACAAACATGTTAATGTATGTTAATGTTATGGATTCCTGCATTGGAAGCCCAGTAGTGCTGATGACTTCGATGGGCTAAGCCATGTGGAGCCACTGTGCGACAGCTATATCTGGTTGTCGGCCTGAGCTGGATATTGTGGCAATATATGTGATGTTGACGGCCCACTTAACCCTCAAATCAGGAATTTTGTGGGGTCCATGTCCAGAGATGATTGATGGCTTGATGATCACCACCACCACATTATCATTGAGTGGTTGAAATGTCAGGACACATTCCTAATCTCCTCCAACCCAATGAACCTCACATAATTTATAGTAATTTCATGTGGGTATTTAATCATGTGGATGTGATTTATATTATCAAAATTCAGAAAGGAGAAGTGATATGTGTGGAGCTTCCATGACTTCTAGCAGTAGTTTATGTCCAAGCGAA